ACCAATCCAATGATATTAGACCAGTAGTTGACCTTTTTCATGTTCACTTGTTCGGGACTAGCTGTTTGGGTGCGCCTTTGACATGGGCTTCATCTCTCTTTCTTTTGCCTTGAAATTTACGGAACACCTATTTGTTCAAATACAAACAAATTTAACGTTATTGTTCATAAATGAATAGTGATAATAACTGTAAATTATATGTCATGTGAACGATGGGATGATCATGGTGAAATATTATGTGAATAGCTGGTGTACATAGTCGCATGAACAGGTTATAACACATGACAACCCAACATGATCCAATAACAAACTGGCAAAAACAAACATGATGTAAATGTGTGCAATGGGTACGGTCTTGTGTTGTTAATGTTGCCATTGGTTTGTAGTCATTACCAATATCTAACAATCTGATATAAATATTCACATTATGTACAATGAAATTCAGATTGAATCAAGAAAGGGTTGACAAAACCATCCAAGATTAGGGACTCTACATCAATAAGCAACAATATTAACAATTTTGTCAATATATATATCATATTTCATTGATGTCAGAATGTGAATATTGACATTATATTCAGAATGTACTAACATTGACAAAATGGAGGAGATAAAGAGTGTATTACAAAACAATAACACATGAAAATTGGGGGTTCTATGGATATCAACAATTAGCAATACCAACATTGACAGAGGGAAAAAAAACAGAGTTCATTATCAAATCACAACCACAAACAACATTAATAACAAAGGAATGTAAATTATACGTTTGTTTGTTAATATTATTTATATTCAACAAAAAAATCAACGTCACCAACATAGATAGAGTGAAAATGGGGAGTTCATTACAAAATGAAATCCAAAAACAACAATAATAACAGGGACAATGTAAACATATACATTTGTGATTAGATTATATTATCGTTGTTTAAAAAATAGAAGATGGAAGGATGGTGCTTATCTTTGGTCCTCATTATGGATGGGATATGTAAATCGACGGCTGGTAAAAACCAAGGAAGAACGAACCCCAATCCTTTCAATGTAAACCTTCGCAGTGGTGCGTTGATATGGAATAGTAGTGGTAATAGTGGCCGACAATGGTTGGCGGTGGAGGACGACAGTGGTGAGACGATGTGAAATTTAGGGTTACGGTTTGAGAATTTTTTTATGCCAACGATGAGTTTTTTTTGGGGAATGAATGTGTTGTGGAGTAAAGAGATGAAATAGGAACAGTTGGACTTTCAGAATGGAGTATACACGGGAGAAATAGGAGGAGGGTATTTTGGTCTTACTACACTGAATGAGACCTAATGGACTAATAAAAAATGATTTGGGTTTTATGGTATAAAAATCTTAGAAATGAGATTTTTTTTTTTTTTTTTCCGATTCAATAGAAATGAGATTTATGAATAAAGCTTCCAAGCCTAAAATGTAATTATAAATTCTTAAAATTATTTGCACGCTTTGGTATGCTGGGTGAATCTTCGAACTCATGTTCAACCCTATCCTCAATTACTTTGGAGTACTTTAGGAAGTTGGTTAAAAGTGAGCTTTTGACTTTTTAACATATTTTGAGTCATATCACCTCTTATATTTTTTATTTACAAAAAGACAAAAAAGACAAAAAAAAAAAAAATCAAAAATCAAGTTTTTAACCAACTTCCTAAAATACCACTTTATTAATGTTGTCAATGACTTTTTTTTTTTTTAATTAATTTTTCATTATTTTGTCAACCATTTGCATAACTATTTTTGTAGAGTTGAAGTATTCCATTAAATATGAAATTGATAATATTTAGATTCAAAGTCACCCTAAAAAATTGACAATTTAGATGTGTTTGTTTTAGAATTCAATTAAATGGGAAACTAAAATAAGAAAAGTAAAACAAATAACCATCAGCTGGGCAATGTTTAAGTGGATGAAGATGACATGATACCAAACATAGCTTCTTTTTTTCTAGATCTCTGACTCGATCTTGTAAATTTTTTTAGTATCATTTTCGATGCGAAAATTCAAAAACAAAAAAAATAAGGAGAAATTTCAAATCAATAATTTTTAGAATAAAATAATTATGAATTAATAATAAATGTAAAACAAATAACCATCAGCTGGGCAATGTTTAAGTGGATGAAGATGACATGATACCAAACATAGCTTCTTTTTTTCTAGATCTCTGACTCGATCTTGTAAATTTTTTTAGTATCATTTTCTATGCGAAAATTCAAAAACAAAAAAAATAAGGAGAAATTTCAAATCAATAATTTTAAGAATAAAATAATTATGAATTAATAATAAATTTTTTAGATATCAATAATTAAAATCATATATTTTTTCATAAGTCATAATTATTTTTAAAAAAACTAGACTGAAATATAATTTATCCTAAAAATAAAAATCTGATCCGCCCATCTACACGCGCTCACTCAGAGCGTGAGACAGATTGCATTCGCATGTTGATCTCGTGGAGTCGTGGTACACGCATTCGAATTTTGATAAAGAAAATAATATTCAAACATAAATTTTTATAGAGAATGATATAATTTTTTTGTTTTATAATTATAAATCAAAGTAAAGAATATTTTAATTTTCAATGAATATAAATTATTCTGTATAAATTTTTATACAAATTATGTTTGTAGAGCGCTACTCATTTTATAATATTACAAATAGCGGTCCAATTTTAACAACTTATTAATTCAACTTAACAATATTAGAAATACATAATTTTAAACATTAATTTATTTTATCTCCCACGTAGAGGGTGAATCTCACAAAATCAAATAAGGACCACCTTCTATGTAAGAGGAAGTAAATTAATGTGTAAAATTGTGTGCCAATATTTTTATGAGGGATGTTTGGCAATTGGCTAAACTAATCAAAGGTCAACATAAAAAGTTAACTCAAGCTATTTAATTTTTTTACATTTTTTTTTATAAAAAATTAAACAATTATTACAAAGTCAATTTCCAAATAAATCCTCATTCAGATTTAATTTTAAAAAAGTTGTAATTAAAATTTGATTAGTTTGTGTTTGGTTTATGGATTTGGAAAGGGAGAAGGAAAAATATAAATATAAATGAAATATAAATAAAATATAATTACATTTCACACACCTTTCACATACTTTTTAATTTGAGTTATGCTAGGAGTTCCAAATAATCTTTTAAATTTTCTGCCAAACCTCTCATATGGGTATACGACTCACACACATGTGGATTTGTGTGAGTCCCACACTTATGTTTGGTAAAAAAATTGATAAATTATTTAGAGTCCATAGCATTTTCTTTTTAATTTTTCATTTCTAAATTTCTATCTAAATCTAGGAACCAAATGAGACCTAGAATTTGTGTTCAAAATTTATATATATGTCCAAATTAAATGCCAACTTAACTTGGCAAGACTTCTCACATCTCCATCAATCCGAATTTTGTGTTATTGATATATTTTTAATTATATATGACAAATATAAATATTATAATTTGTAGTGTTTTGAAAGTTGGTAAAAAGTTGACTTTTTAACTTTTTTAACAATTTTTATTTTGGCTAAAAAAACTAAAAAGTCAAAAAACTGGCATATAAATTAATAGACAAATATTTACATAGTGTTTTTAATATTTCATTTTAAACTTTGATTTTATCAAATTTGAAATTTTAATTTTATAGCTAAAGTCGGTTGAAAATTAGAAGTAAAGTTAGTAAAAAGTTGACTTTTTAACTTTTTTAGCAACTTTTTATTTTGGCTAAAAAAACTAAAAAGTCAAAAAACTGGCTTTGTTGATTAGTATTGTAATGTAAAATATATTCTCCAAATTCAACTAAACAAATTATTTTTAATTGGTCTAAACAAACATATTACACTTTTTGCAAATAAAAAGAAATCTCAAAACATACCGACACAGAACATATAAGAAAAACAATACAGTTATACTTACAATTTTTGTAAAGAAGTTATCTAGTAGGTCAGATCTAACTTGTACCTGTGTAAGAGACATAATTATTTTGTTTAAAAACAGTAAAAAAAAAAAGACAAATATTTACATAGTGTTTTTAATATTTCATTTTAAACTTTGATTTTATCAAATTTGAAATTTTAATTTTATAGCTAAAGTCGGTTGAAAATTAGAAGTAGAGTGGAAAATTGATTTATTTTTTTATGAAAAATATAAATTAATGTGAGTAATTGTTTCTTATTTTGGTACTGTAAAAAACAAAGAAATAAAATGGGTAAAATTATTTTTCAAATTCATACAATGTGAAACATTAGTGATGAACTATTAAGAATTAAGATTTCTTCAACTTGACACTCTATTTAAAGGTCAATTGAGATAATTCTGACAATTATAAATTTATTTTTATTATAATTGACATAACAAAAATTACAATTACCTAAATATTCTTTAATATCAAAATGAAATTAGTGTATTGTCATTATTTGTATTCACTGACAACCAAATCTCTCTTTCTAGATTACTATAAAATTCTCTAACTCTCTTTGGCGACACATAAAATGTTTATAGACAATAATGACAGTGGTATTGATTGAGAGTGAGAAAGGATGGCGCGATAATTGAGCAAAATTGTGTTACTGGTTAAATGAAAATGAAAAATAAAATAGGTGAGATAAGAAATAAATAAAATATTTAATTTCATAAAGATTAAATATATGCATTTTTAGAAGAAGAAAAAAATACTTACATCATACATTTTGATTAACAAAAAGGACTATTTGTTACGTAATTGAAAATCTCAAAATGTAATTTCTCAAATGTAAGAAATATTTTTAACAATAATGTTTAAGATTTACATTTTATACTGACAAATACATTATTGCAACAAAAATGATAAATTTCATATTATTGAATGTTTAATCAACGAAAACTGATATAAAACATTTTTCTATTTTTCAAGAACGAAATATCCACGCTTAGATTTCACAGTAAAAAAAACACAGGGACTCGCGGCTTTTCCTCTTCGGTGTCACTCTAAAACCTTACAGCAAAGGCCCCCCTCGCCATTCTCTCTCACTCTAAACACATCTGTAAAAAAACCTTTACACAGCAACAAAAGGCCAGCAAATGCCCAGCAGCACAGGTCTGATTCACACCCCTATTTAACCACCACCACCCTACTGAGCTGGACCAAAACAAAAAGAAAGAAAAAAGCATTTTTTTTAATTTTTTCTCCAGTATTTCGGGGTCTGCTAGACAGACCTGTCAAGCTCTTTTCTCTTGGAGCATGTTTTTTCTCTGCAAACTCCCTTTCTTGATTCTCTTCTCTCTTCAATCTAGATTCAAACCCTTTTGGCTTAGAAACCATGTCTAGTTTATACACCCAGAATTTAAATTTCTCACCTGCTAGAGTTGTTTCTCCACATATAAGGAACAACAACAGCAACAACAACAACCCAGATGTAGATGGGTAATACCCTGTTTCTAACAATTCTTTGATTTCGATTTCTTATGCTTAGGTGACTTTGAATTAGCTGATATATTTGATTGATTTGATTTTTATTTGTTTCTGGGTATTTTGGATTTCTTGTAGTCAGTACTTGGCAGAGCTTTTAGGTGAGCACCAGAAGCTTGAACCTTTCGTGCAAGTCGTTCCAATATGTAGCCGATTGTTGAATCAAGGTTGGTAATCTGCAATTGGTTTTGGATCTAGGCTTTCTATGTTCTAATGGGTTTTCTTGTTTTTTCACTAATTTTTATGATTCTGTTGTTCAAATCTCCTCATGTACTTACATCTTAAAGTCATGTATATTATATGTGCATATACATAAGGTACCTGTTCTTTTGTGTGCATGAGAGAGAGAGAGAGAGTTGTGCAGGCACCAGTTAGCTTAGCTATCAATTGATTTTCTTGTTTTCTCCTATACAACAAAGCATTCCAAGGAACATTGAAATAGAATTTGGAAAAATCTGTTCTTTATAGAATTTCCTAGAGAATGATGTGCCTGTGTAAGTTCTGTAATTGCCATCTTCGTTGGTTCTTTATTTTAAAATGATAGGTTCAAATTCAGCCATATCATTTGTATTCAAGTTATGTATATACTTTCTATTTGTATAGCATTACCTATAGAATTAAGCCTATGACTTGTGGTGTTTGTGTATTTAGAATTTGAAAGTTGTCAGAGATTTTTGAAGGATGCTTATGTAATGCAAACAAATTTTACATTTTGGTATTTCTGGGTACTGTCGTTCACAGAAAAAATGAAGCAACGATTATTATTATCATTGTGTTTATATATATTTTTTGTCATATTGACTCTATGTTCTAGGCATGTAACCAATCTCCTTCTAGGAGTATCCAAAAAATCCAGTGTGCTATCCCTCCAAGAGTTTATTTTAGTTAGTCGATCATCTTTCATTTTCTTATTATTATTTTTTTGGTCTGAACTGTTTTGTTCTTTCATTATAGGATCTTTAGTTACATATCATTCCCCATTCCATGGATGTATTTTATGCTTCTTTTCATTATAATTGTCAGGAGATATTTGGAAAAGAATTTTATCGTATTTTATCATATTCATAAAAAGAAAACATTTCATTGCTTTTTATGTTGACAGAGATATTAAGGGTTTCTGGCATGTTGTCCAACCATGGACTTAGTGACTATGACAGGCTACAACGTGGAAGCCCCAGTCCAATGGCTTCTTCAGACATAATGCCAAATCTTGGAGCAACAGGTTTTGGTGGTTGGAGTGGCCATCTGCATGAGGTAAGTGCATGGAATGTCATTTATATTTGTCACCCTAAATGACTGAATTTATCACCCCCAGTTTCCTCATTTGGCGACATTATCTGTTCTTATTCTTCTAACATGTAATAGTGTACTCACTGTTTTTGTTAGTAGTTTTTCCGTACTGCACTGAATTGTGTGTAGGGTTGCACAAGTTATTTGTGTGCCTAGAACTTGACATACCCGAATTCAGGTGTGGAAGTTGTCTCCGGAGAATCACCACAAGCACTATCAGCGCATGGGTAGTTTACCCACAATTAGACATATATAGAGCACTAGATATTTATGCTTAAAGAAAGCCAAACTGAAAACACAATAATTGGTTGTTGTGTGATGGAGTTTGAGATTGGACATTTATGCATCATTTCTTCCTGTTGATCGGTCCGCCCATGGAATAGTTGTAGGAATACAAGTCAAACGGGTTGTTGAAAGAAATTTCTTCCAACCAGCTGATGACTAGTTTATTCAGTGATAGTGATGATCAAAGTTGAAAGAAATTTCTGCAACAATCCAACTAGATGATTAAGGTCTTCTCCTGCATGTTATGATATAGATCTCTGACTACATCTCATCTGTTCGTTATTGCCTCACTTGCTTTGTTTAGGGGGGAAATATGCCCTCAATAGAGTTTCACATAGCCTCTGGAGGTCTGCAAGAAAGGAAGCTCATTATTTTTAGTCCTAATAGTTAGACAAAGCAGTAGACAGGCAACCCTTGAGGAGCCATCTGAGTCGGTAAGTGGATATGTTCCCCACATTACTGATGAAGGTTCAAAAATCATCTCCCGATTGCCTGGTTCATTGGTTTAGGGGGTAGCCTTTGAATCTCGAGTTTACCTTCCTAGGTGTGTCCAAAGGACCCTGCCTAGGATGGGTTATTGATTATTTTGAAGAAAAAAAAAATAGTAGACAAGGTAGAGAAATAACCTCGAACATGCTTTTGCTCTAACAAAAAGAGTAGTAAGAGAAAATAAATCCAAGCAACACAAATTGAAAGAGGTTTTGAAGTAGAGGGACCTCCCCATCCCCTGACAGGTTAACCAGAGGAATGCCTAGTGATTTTGCAAGTAGGGAGTTGGGGTTTGTTGGTTGGATTTGGATATATGTAGCAGTGTTTTTGTTTCATCCTTGTAAATTTTTTCATATGCTATTGCTGACCACTGTGAGTAATGAGCAGCAAGGACCAACAATATGTGCCTCTCATGTTTTAAAAGCCGCATGCTTTGTGTTTCCTGTTTTTCTCTTTTAAGTCATTAAATGTCTTGTTTTCCATTTTCATTCTTTCACTATGTGATTTTGATTCAAGTTATAAGAGTCATTGGGTTTATTATGCAACAGAGATTCAGTGGACCACATGGGATAACAATGGACTGGCAAGCAGCCCCAGGAAGCCCAAGTGCCTATATTGTGAAGAGGGTATTGCGATTGGAGATAGCCGTAGGCAGCTATCCCAATGTAAGCTATGTGACATCAATCTCTTGATATTGTGTTTTATTAAAGGATGATTCTTGAATTCTTTCCCGATATCAGAATGTGCTTAGGCTGACTACACTTCTTTTGTACATTAGTTCAATTTTGTTGGGCGGCTTCTAGGTCCTCGGGGTAATTCCTTAAAGCGTGTGGAAGCTTCAACAGGATGCAGAGTATTTATTAGAGGAAAAGGTTCAATAAAAGACGCTGATAAGGTTATATATGTTTCAACATTGTAGAAGTTTATGATTACACAAAATTTTCAAGCTTGGAGTTAGTCAATGTCATACTAAAATTTGAAGACGGTTTATAGTCGAATTTCTTTCTCATATGTATACTCTTTTTTGAAATTTTAACTTTAGCTTTCATACATTTTATGTATTTTGAAGGAGGAGAGTCTAAGAGGAAGGCCTGGCTATGAGCACCTGAATGATCCACTGCACATTTTAATTGAGGCAGAATTACCCGTCAATATTGTTGATGCACGATTGAGACAGGCACGAGAAATTATAGAGGAACTTCTCAAGCCTGTGGTATTTATTTTTATCCTGATCCCTTTTTCCACTGTTTCAATTTTTATGGCTAGTCATTACTTCCAAAGTATATTTATGTCCTTCCATATTTCTTGTTCTCACTAACAATGAGCAATAAGGAAGTGAATAATTGCACTCTAAGATTAAACTGAATATCTCAGTTTGTAAGTATTTCTCATAGGTTTTACCTTTTGTAGTTCATAGGAGTAAAACTATGTTTACAAATGGAGGAGAAATCAGGATAAGTAAATAACAAAAGCCATCTTTCTCACTGTGTCAAAAGTTGCACATATATGTAACCAGGGGTTGAACCTTGAAAGGAAACCTTTTGAGGGTCTTACTTGTTTGGTTGTGTTTTTCCTTTTTGCATTTTTATTTTCTGAAAAACACCAAAACTTGTTTGTCAATGTAATTTTTTGTAAGACAACTAACTTTTTAGGAAACACTAAGAAGTTTTTTTCGAAAACTGCTTTCACACAAAAATGAAATATATGTGGCTTTTGACTTCTCATTGTTTCTATTTACAAAAACACGAAAAATGAAATTAAAAAAAAAGAAATGAAGAAAAACAAAAACACAAACAAGCAGGCCCTCAATGGATAATGTGGATGCTATAGGATGATCCTAACTGCATTATACGAGTGGAAATGCTTTTGGTAGGCCAGTTTGTGTGTGTTTGTGTTTTTTTTTATAGACACAGATTTACTCATTTCGTGTATCTCCAATTGCAGGACGAGTCACAAGATTTCTACAAAAGGCAACAACTAAGAGAACTCGCGATGCTAAATTCCAATTTTAGAGAAGAGAGCCCTCGACCAAGCGGAAGTGTCTCTCCGTTCGGTTCCAATGGAGGGATGAAGCGTGCCAAAACCGGTCGATAGCCAGATCTTTCTAAATTATCCACCTTAACAATCATTCTGGAGCCCCGTTGCTGCATATTGACGCCATATTATACCTCAATAAATCTTGATTTTCTATAGCTTGGAGGTGTGGGGCTAACAAAAATGGCCAGGAGTTTTAATGCATGCCGGATCCTTATTTGGCAACTTAAACAGAAGGAAAACAAAAACGCTTTTCATGATCTGCTGCTGTAAACATGAAACAATTATTGAATTTATTTGTTATTTAACCTTTTCGCTATTCGGGTTGTGTCGGAAAATCTTTGACAGAGCAATATTAGGGCTGGTGATTAAGAGTGTTGGGTTGGATTTTCTTAAAGCAATTGTTGTTTAAATTTGAGAATAAGGTTGGTATTTTTGTCTTTATATCTTGGTCTGGTCTGGTATGGTAGAATGTTGAGTACTATTGTGTTGGTGTTGGTGTTGGTGTTGGCAGTGCTAGCCGGGGTGAGTTTCGGCCAAGGAGCTTTGGGCACCTGCTCGCATACATGTTTCGAATAGGTTTGAAGTAGAAGACACGTCGTGTGTGCGCTCTCTAGCTATTGAGTAGACACACAGCCCACGTAATAGTCTAATCTATGCCAATCTATTACAGGACTTCTATTTGGGGAGACAATCTTTAAAGCCAAACAAAGGGGACACAGTCAATTGTGAAACACTTACCAAACAAAAGTGTGAATGGACGTGTACTTATCTTTTTATCATTGTGAAATGGTTTTTTTTTTTTTTTTTTTTTGATCTGGGGAATTTAACAGCCAAAGAAAAAAACCGAACACATAGAAAATAAAACAGATTAAGAAGCACCCAACAAAGCAGCAAGAGCAGCTGGGGGGTTTGATACCCAATTCTGGGGAAGATAACCATGCAGTGCCGCTTGTGCCACCCAATGGGCAACACTATTGGCAGATTGAGGACTCCATTGGAGGATCAACATTTCTTGAGAAGCCAATCTCCTAATATCATCAATAACCAGTCCACAATCCCAAGGAGGAACTGTCTCAGACACACTGAGAAGGATGACTGATTTATTATCTCCTTCAATAGTTGCCCCATGTAAACCGCAAGCCTGAGCAAAAATACAAGCCCATCTACAAGCTAGAGCTTCACCTTGGAAAGACGAGGAGATGTATTCCTTCTTAGTTAGGCCATTTAGAATATGTCCCGAAGCATTCCTCAAAACCACTGCAATAGAGGCCTGGGAAGAGCCTTTCTTCGTAGCCACATCCCAATTGAATTTGAATTGACCTTGATCTGGGGGCGTCCAGGTACCCACTCCCTCTGGGATCAGAGAAGGCCAGTGAGGAAAAGATACTGTTTGGCGATACATCACATTCTCAAATTTTGTCATTGCCACTCGAGCTCGATGCAAAGTCGAGGAGGGCTCCACCGGGAGATGGTTAAAGACATAATTGTTTTAGTCCTTCCATATGAACCAGCCAATCCAAGCTACTATACCAAGGCAGGAAGCTCGTTCTTCCTCATTCTTGAGTTTTTCCACCAGCACACACGACCATTGCACAGTCGATTGAATGGTTCCACATTCAACTTTGAAATTTATATCACTTCCAAACCATACAGCTCTAACCCAACCACAGTCGAAAAGAATATGTTCCACCGATTCAGGTTTGCTGTGGCAGATTGGGCTTTCATTTGAAGGGGCACACCGTCTCTGAAACAGATTCTCTTTGGAAGCTAGCACATTTTTACACGCTCACCACCAGAAATGTCGGATCTTTGGAGGAACTTTGAGAGTCCAAATTAACTTCCAGAAACTGTTTGGAGGTCTAAAAGAGGAAGAGGGTCTCTGAATCCCCTGGTTTTGCGCATCCGAAAGAGCCACATGATAGCCAGTTTTGACTGAATATACCCATTTTGATTCAAAGTGCCAGATCATAGCATCTTCCTTAGTTGTCAAAGGTAGGGGAATTGACCTGATTGCTTCCACTTCCTCATTAGATACCAGACTTCGAAGAACATCTACCTTCCAACTCATACGGGTAGAATCAATCGCATCTTCTACCTTCGTGATCAAAGAGCCATTAGGAATTGGAGTGGATATCTTGAATTTAGGGAGAGATGGCACCCATTTGTCGATCCAAAACTTGACATTGGCTCCACTATGAATTTGCCATCGCAAACCTTCCATAAACACATTCCTTCCCTGCAAAATACTAGCTCAAGCCCAAGAAGCTCTACGCCCTTTTGCCGCTTCCAAAAAGGAGTGGGGAAAATAGATACCTTTTAAGATGCGAGCACCAAAAGAGTTTGGGTACTTCACTAATCTCCAACCTTGGCGAGCTAATAGGGCCAAATTAAAAGCTTTGAAGTCTCAGAAGTCTAACCCGCCTTGAAATTTTGACAGCCCCAAAGAGTCCTAATTTATCCAATGAATTCCTCTACCTTCCGGGTCCCCTCCCCACCAAAATTTGCTAATATATGCATTCAATCTTGCACAAAACCATTTTGGAAAGGCAAAACAGGCCATGGCGTAGGATGGGATAGCTTGAACCACTGCTTTGATCAAAGTCTCTTTCCCCGCTTGTGATAATAATTTTGATTTCCACCCTTTGAGTCCATTGGGTATGTTTGGTTTGGTGGTCTTCCATCTAATATATCCTCCCAATAAAAATAAAACAAACAAACAAACAAATTATTGAGTTAATTACACCAACTACTCTTTCAATTAGAAATTATCATACGGGTTTTGAACACCTTGTGACATTGTGCCCGATTAATGGTATTCATGATCTGTACACCACTATTCTTATTTTTTTGAATTATTTAATAAGACAATATAATTACTCTATTTTAAATATATCTAAATATATTTTTTCTAATATAACTTTAAAAACAACCATTTAAATCACTTAATTATAAAACGAAAATGACTGGTAGCTCGAAAAAAGTAGCTCGATTTTGGCTTGAATTCGAATTCGAAGACAGAGACAGAGGAGAAAGAGGGAGAGAAGAGAGGAAGAAGAGAGGAGAAGAGAAAGAGGAGAGAGGGAGAAAGAGAGAGGAGGAGAGGAGATCGTCGCAGCACCATCGCCGTCGCCTCGCCACCGCCGATCGTCGCAGCACCACCGTCGTCGCCTCCGGCCCCGCCTCCGCCTCCTTCTCCCCTGTGATTATGCCCCCTCCAGTCCTCCTCCTTCCTCCTTCTCCTTCCTTCTCTTCTTCTCCCCCCTTCTTCTTCTTCTTCCTTTTGCAACAAAAACACAGGAAAAAAAAAAAAGACACCAAAACGACGTCGTTTTGGTGTTGAGCCAAATTCGAGTCAAACTCTTTCGAGCTACGTAGTGGGGCCGAAACGCCAAAACAACGTTGTTTTGGTGTCGAGCCAAATTCGAGCCAAACTCTTTTGAACTACGTAGCGAGGTCGATTATAAAATTGTAACACTTTACCTTCGAATATGACATTCGTTATTAAAATATATATATATGTATATATAGATATATATATTTAATTGAGCAATCTTCAATCACAATTGAGAGTTTTCGAATAATTAATCCAGAATAAATAGGCATAGAAGATGGAGGAGTAATACTATGACCCACCCTTATTAATTCAAAAATTACTCAAAATTTTTAATTTGTATTTATTTTACACATGGACTTTACATTATACAAATGGGTAAATTACATTGATACCCCCTGAGGTTTCTATTTAATATAGATTTTCTCCTCACGTTTGAAAATTTAGACTTATTCCATTGCCAGATTAAAATGACATATTTATTCCTTAACCTTTATACATATAAAATAATAAAATAATACTAATATTTTGTTCATGTCATTTTAAGAAAAATAACAATCATCTTTTTTAATTTAATTCACACAAAAATAAATAAATAGATGATTCTCATTCCACACACTTTGTGTTTTGATGTCCATTATGATTATTTGGTTTGAGGGGGATTTTATTTGAATCCAAAATATATCTCAGTAAACCCAATTTAAATTCATAAATTTTAATTCCTAATATATCTTAATATGAATTTACTAATAAGGACAAGATATATTAAACCCCAAAATAATTTTTTTCCCTCTCATGGTACACCCTAATCAATTATTACTATTCAAATCTCTGTATCTTCTTTTCTAGGATATCAAAGTTATTTTTTTTTTTCTTCTTCTTCTTCTTCTTCCTCTCTCCAAAACTCCAATCCTCTCTCTAAAACTCCAATCCACCCTACCAAAACTCACCATCATTATCAACATTATTGTTTTTTTATTATTTTGAAACCTTAAATCCTAGACAAAGTTTAAACAAAATCAAATAATGGATGAGAGTAATAATCAAAATAGTTTTTTGGAGCAACCCATCAAAAAGGAGGTAAGTATTTATATAAAGGAGTTTCACAATTTTTGTAGAGCACCGTCAATTATTTTCTATATCATTTTTTTTTGGACAAAAATTAAAAAACCCAGTAATTAAATTAACAATAACATATTATTGGAGTTGTTCTTATTTTGTCATTTAAATAGTATATTATTTGAAAATTACTTTTTCTTATTAGGCTTGATGTTTATGTGCTTATAAGTTTGGTTTTTACTTTTCCACCAGCATCCTTTTGAATAATTTATAATGTAAATGTTTTTTTTTTCTGTATTAAAAAGTTTTATAATTCTTATGTAAAAGTTTAGTTTTTTTGTATTTATAATGCTTATATGCTTATAGGTTTGATTTTTTTTTCCTTTCATATTTGAGAATTATTTTCTGTATTGAAAAAATTTGAAAAAATTTAGTTTTTTTAGCTTGTTTATTATTTATTATTTGGATTTACATTGAGGGTAATTTAGAAAAAATAATAAGGTGTAACGAGAGTAAAATAAAATTTTAAATAATTAAATAGAGTGTATTTAAAAATTGAAAGTATTTAATAATTTTTTTTGGTGTAAATAGAATCCCTTTTATTTTGGGATATAATTATTATTAGAATAATATTTCATTAAGTATATCTATACTATATATATAAACAAATGTAGTAGATTATGAGAATTCTCTAAACTCTTAATACTAAATTCTTATGAATTCTCTCTCCTATGTGTCACTTTTCAAGTCTCCCCTCCCACTTTTCTTAATTTTTAATCATTTGTCAATTATCTAAATCTCAAAAGCCAAAAGGATTATATATATTTAAATAAAATGATAAATATTTAAATATGAGCAACAAAGAGGTAGAGATAAAAATATAAAATAAATAAAATAAAAAGATAACTATTCAAATTTCAACTACAAAATAATATAAAGAGTCAAATAAAAGATAAAAATAAATAAAAATAAAAAATATTACGAGTAAAATGATTTTTAAAATAAGAAGGTAATTATGTATATGTGAATAACAAATAAATATACATGAAAAAATATACAAAAATAAAAATATAACTATTTAATGAAAATTCAAATAAAAGATAACAAAATATTTAAATAAAAAAAAAAGAATAAGATTGGAATATAAATATCCCAAAAAGATGATAATTTTTTTAACGATCTATATTTATCTTTTGTTATAGAATTTCTATAATATTTCAACTTAAGTCTTTTAAGTTATTTTAAGTGAATCTAATATTGTATCTTTCAAACAACATGCAATTCTGTTATCCACACAAATTTTAAAATATGATAGAATTCATATATATTCTTTGTTTAAACATAATTAAAATAAAATAAAAAGATAACTATTCAATTTCAACTGAAAATAATATAAAGAGTCAAATAAAGATAAAAATAAATAAATAAATAAATAATATTACGAGTCAAAATTATTAAAATAAAAAGTAATTTTAGTATATGAAATTAAAAAATTAATTAAAAATATTACGAGTCAAATATTTTTAAACTAAAAAGGTAATTATGTATATATAACAAATAAATATAGATGAAAAATATACAAAAATAAAATAATAACTATTTTAATGAAAATTCAATAAAAGATACAAAATATTTAAATTAAAAAAGCACTAAGATTGGAATATAATTCCAAAAGATGATAATTTTTTAACGATCTATATTTATTTTTGTTATTGTTATAGAATTCTTATATATTTCAATTAATCTTTTAAAGTTTATCTTTAAGTCTGAACTTAAATATTTTTTTTAAAATCATCATACTTATCCATACAAATTTTAAACATGATAGAATTCATATATATCTTTGTTTAAACAAATATTTTTATATAAAACAAGTTCTTGCAAAAGAAACATGAAAAGAAAATTGGAAACAATCAACATGGCAATTTCTATCTTTTCGGTGCCTAAAAATCTTAAATATTTGCTTTACATTTGAAATGTGTACTTGCATGAGTTTTTGCATTTGTAAGAAAGTGAGTTCATATAAATGAACATTATTATTTTTAAAAATTTTTTTTTTGTTACAATCTGTATTTTTCCTTGTTTCTTTCTTTTTGTTAATAATTTGTCATTTAATTGAGATTTTATTCTTTTTTTATATTTATAAAAGCACTGTTATTATCAATTTGTAACTCTCTCACTTATTGATTTTTTGTGTTTTTTTTTTTTTTTTTTTTGGTGTAGATGTTAGTTAGATTGAAAATGAAGAATCAAAATTTATTGGATATGGGTTATACTTTAAATGTATTCATCAGTTGATTTTTTATTGTTGATTATCCTATTGAAATAATTCATGATTAAATTTATTTTTAGTAACTCATTTCCTTTGAGAACTAAACCACAAATTTCTTCTCTGTTTAAATTATTTATTTATTTATTTAGATTCAGAGTTTGAGCAAATGGAAGATATCTCATATTTAAAAATGTTAATTTTTTTTTTGAATAATTTAAATATTTATATTCTTTATGTTTGTCAATTCAAGTATAATGCATTTTCAAACATTTTTTTTTTTAATTTTTTTATAATCATTCCAAACCTATTTGTGTTTAAAGAATTAATATAACGAAAAAACAAATAGCATGTAAAAAATTTTAACCACCCACTAACTAAATATAATGGGAATTAAAATTAATTTTATTTTAATTTATTATATTATATGGGATGATTACTGTAATATCTACTATTGATTAAGCAAAATTAGTGTTACTTTTATTTAATATATTAGTCATTTTGATTAATTATAATATGCCTTTGTTACTCTACTTTTGATTTTCTGAAGTAATTCTTAGATAAATTAGCTATTATATATGTGATGATTTATTAATGTATGATACTTTTTTAAAATTTTCAATAATGTGAAATATTAAATATTTTTAATGATGTGAAATAAGATTTATATACACAAACCAAATAAGAATATTAAGAAATATAAACAAATAGCAAATTTTTTTTATAGTAATTATTGACTTTCTAAAATCCTGTGCATCGCACGGGTGACCACTAGTATATAAAGATAAATAAGTGTTTAGAAATAGAATTAACTTACAACTAGCGACCTAGAAAATTCTCAATGGGTAAGGGCTGGTTTGGTATCACGTATAAAAAGTTAAGAAGTTACTTAAAAAGCAAAAAAATTCATACCATTCACCTTTATTTTGACAGAAAATCTGTGAGATCATCAAAAAAATAAAAATAAAAAAAAAAAAGTGCAGCCACAAAATAGTCCAGCCACAAATTCTTATGAAAAAAGAAAACGTGGCACTTTATAAGCCACACATTTTCATAAAAATTTAATAAAAAATAAAATAAAAAGAGATAGAAAGTTAGCGCAGTGTTGCTGACTGTGTTAAGATAGGTAATTTGGTAATTTAATATTTGTTACAATATTTTATTACATATTTTTTCTTTAAAAGTTAAATTTTTTTTTTTCAAATATACATCTTTTTTTTCTTTACTTTTTTAATAAAAAATCAAAAAATACATTTTTTTTAATTTACTCCAAACACCTACTTAGGGGTTGTTTGGGGTGTCCTAAATAAGTGTACTTTTTGTTTTTTTAGACTAAAAATTAAAGAAAAAAATATGGATGTTTAAGTTAACTTTTTGATTTTTTATAAAAAAATATGTATTAAAAAATTTTATAAAGAAGTGTGTAGGTGAAAATTAGAAATGTGGGTTGGCAGCCGTACAATTTGTGCAATTGAATTGATGGTAAGAAATTATTGGCCAATGTTTGAGCATTGCATTGAACAGTTTTGTTCAGCTTATGGAGGCCATCGCGGGTCCCATTTTAATAATCTGAACCGTTTAATGTGTAGAACTCGTCAAGTACTATATACTTATAAAAAATCACGTTGATCGGATATCGATAGCTATCTGATCATATTTTTTTTTTAATCGTTAATTATAACACCATCCATTTTTTTATGCAAAACTAATTTGATCGTATATTTATCGATATCCGATCAACGTGATTTTTACAGGCATATAGTACTCGACGATTTCTACACATTTAACGGTTCAAATTATCAAAACGGGACCCGTGATGGACTCCCACAGGCCAAACAACAGTGTGTTTAATTGCATCCAATCTAATCAGATTTGTTCAGCCACACAGCACGGAGCGATGATTGCTTACATCACTGATTTGTACTTGGCTTGAAAATTAATTTTTTAATATTTTTTTTATAAATAATGATAATTTCTTAACTTTTTAAATAATTTTTTCACTTTTTGATTTTTTTTTGAAGGGATGCCAAACTTTACCAAAGTCTGATCCCTACCCTAGAGTTTTCCGAAGATGGAGGGAGGCCCAGATATGAACTAATAAATAGCCCATCGGGAAAAAAGCCCAAATATGGGCATTCTTTGGAAGTCCAACTGTTCCCAGTGCCATTTCTGAAACCCCAATCCGTGAGGAGACGACGAAGACGAGAGAGCTGCTATAGTGTGCATCGAGAGAGAGAGAGAGAGAAGAAGAAGAAGGATGGGGAAGACACCGGTGAGGATGAAGGCGGTGGTGTACGCGCTGTCGCCGTTCCAGCAGAAGGTGATGCCGGGTCTCTGGAAGGATCTGCCCGGAAAGATCCACCACAAAGTCACCGAGAACTGGATCAGCGCCACCCTCCTCCTCGCTCCTCTCGTCGGCGTCTACACGTAATATCCCATCTTCTCTCTCTCTCTCTCTCTCTCTCAGAGCTAGGGTTTTTAATCTACATCTATATATATGTGTGTGTATATCAGTCTATGTATGTGGATGTATATATAATGTAAAATTTTAAGCGTATGTATGTGTGTGCCTGAATTTATTCTTATTGGCTGTATTTGATTCTTATAATTTTACTGAAATTTGAGAAAGTCAAGGACTGGAGATGCCATAGAGACCCAAATTGTGTGATCAGATGTAGGAATAGTTATGCAATTGTTGGTAGTATTGGGTCGTTTGATTGCAATGCTTCCTGAGAAGTTTATTCATAGTTGGAATCTGTGGATCAACTCTAAAACATGAACTTCCATTGTGGTTGATTTTATTCATGAGTAGATTTTGTGTTCTTTTAGCAAATGAGAAATTGAGTGAATAATTTTTCATAACAAGCAAAGGAAAAATCGGTGTCTCTATTTGTCCCAACTCGGAGTGCTGTAGCATGTCTAAGTCTGTAACAAATCAAATATAAATTTTACTAATCTTTTCAAGTTTTTTGAAAATTTTTAGATCCTATTGAACTTTTGAATATCATTATGGAACTTGTTTGTCTGTTTTGTTTTTAATATTGGTTTTTGACTACTGTATTTAGAATCGGATTTGAGCAAGAAACCTCCTCTTAGTGGACCACATAAAAATGTCTCTAACAGAATAAGTTATTTCTTAAGCAGCCCTTAGGAGGAGAAAGGATGTGACACTATAACCAAGTTGGTTGGCATTCCTTCCCTTTTTTTCTGACATTTAAAAAATTAACTTACTAGAGTGTATAAATTACACTTTGAACTCAATACGCAAGAAAAATTTGTAATTATGTGGTTTCTTACCATAAAAACACAAGCATAGTGAAATATATATTGCAGTGATATTTGCACCACTAAAAATGATCTTTCCATCAAATTACCTCATTTACTTTTGACCTTTATTTTTGCATCTCAGTATATATGCAAAAAGCAATTTAGTGGAAATCATCCAACATTTTGTTGATGAGCTATGTTATAAATTACAATACAATGATGTTGTGGCCCTGAAAATTGATAAGATAGTGATACTGAGCAAGGAATTATGATTATACCTGTGTAACTTAATTGTCATAGTATTTCAGTAAGTCTTCACCTTTGTGTTCATTTGGGTTATTTGCTTAGTGGCTTGCTTCTACAATATTAAGACATGCATTAAGATGTGAAAGAATAAGGTGGAAATTCTTGCCATCTCCATCTAGTAGGGTTGGTGTTTGTAACTGTATTTCATTATTTTATGCATTTTGAGGCTTTATACGCAATATTGTGCTTTTAGTACCCAACAGGCATTGATTGTGACCAACTTGTCCTTTATGTAAAAACTCAAAACTCGCAGATAGGATCAATGTGTGTTCTGGAGCCTTTTTTATTCTTGAGAAAAAGCATACAGTACGTGACTACGTTTGTGTACTAATTGTTAGGCAAATTTGTCTCAAGGCAAAAACATACTTTACATATGCCATCTGTTATTGTTACTTACTGAAAGGAAATGTATTATTTGTTGTATTCTTCATTAACAGCTAATGCTGCTTTGTACTGAACATATTTATTTAATTTGTGTTTACATCTCGCAATGCACACAGGTATGTCCAGAGCTACCAGGAAAAGGAGAAGATGGAACATAGGTACTGAAGGCATGGGTGAAGTCAAGTGCTTCAAGTGAAGAGCATTTTTTATTTACTGGCAAATAAGAAGCCTGTTATGATAATTGACTGCAGTTGCTGTCATGGAACTTTTGCACCTTTTATCAATTCATTTCCAGATACTAGTTACTCAAGTTTCAAATTCATGTTTTGCTGCTACTTATCGCTTTGAAACGTTTATGTTTGTCTAGTTGTTTGAATGGATGTGATGTCTAGTTTTGAATCAATGTCTTGGTTTCCATTAACGCCAAAATGGTCATTCTTGATAACTAGGAGCAGAGTTTGATTGTTCCATCAGATGATATTACCATGTGGTAGATGATTTGAAGGCCATTGGATTCAGATAACTGGGATTTGTTCTTCCCCTTCATCCACGTTACAGAACATATGCTACCCTCCTTTTATATTTGTCATTGATTTCATATGCTAGTGATATGAAATTGAGTAGTTATGAGAAAACAATCAGTGTTTAGTACCCCAAGAAAATAAATAAATAAATGTTTCCACTAGCAGGTATAACACATTTCATTTGTAGCTATGTTACACTGACTCGGCTGTGTTGGATATGGCTCTTGTTCCCTCAGATGCAGATGACTGAGAGAAGATGAGAGGAAAGTAGAGAAGGATATGGACTATCAATTTACTCCTAGAAAACCGGTTGATGGGTTCTTATACATGTGTATATGGCTTGCAACCTTTCCAGAAGGGGAAGAATAACATTTGCTTGGGTTTGATGGATCTGCTGCCTCCTGATTTTTGAACGCGATTTAGGATTTCAGATTTCTTCAGTTGAATGAATCATTTTCATGTTTGCCATACGATCACCCTAGGTGCAGTTGCCACCATGAGAGGAAGAGTTGCATACAGTTTTGCCCAGAACTCAACTTTGAGATGACAGACCAATATGATCCATTATTGCATATATAATCTGGATAATAGAGATAAACTCACATCTCTACTAAGAAAGATTCGCCCAATTACAAAATGTGTTGGCATAACTGATCCCATTTAATAGGAATTAAGACTTGATTTGGTTTAATTCGATTTGGTTATTCTCAAGTCCTGTTTGCATTTTACTAACATTCTGATATTAAATTAGAGATTTAAGATCAGTCTTTCAAGACAAACTGTATTCAATCCACCGGTAATGCGGGGGACCTCCAATGGGGGCTAGGAATGGCAACGGGCCGGGGATCACACTCCCCGTCCCCGATCCCCGATTGTGAAAATCTCCCCGGCCTCGATCCCTGACGAGGAAGCTATCACCGTCCCCTAACGGGTATCGGGTTTCTCCGACCTCGAAAATTCCCCAACCCAAAAACATCATCAACAACAACAGATCCACTATCAACAACATCATCATCAACATCACAGATCCACTATCTAACAAAAAAAAAGAAAAAAATAGACAAAGAGAGACATATACATACATACACAACTAGGTTACAGATCTGAGATCAAAAAAAAAATGGACAAATATGGACATATACATACATACACCATCGGCATCTCCGATCTAACCATGAGATTACATCTTAGTTGTGCCGCCGGAGACGAAACGAAGCTTCTCACGCCAAATGGATTCACTCACGCCAAAGACGGTATGGTTGTGGTCAACGCCACCTGCAAAGCCAAACTCAGATCTAGGGATTCGAAGCCCTAGATCTAGCGGGCGACGGAGAGAGAATCTGGAGAGAGAGAGAGGCGAGAAAGTAGAGGGAAGACAGTGGCGGTGGCGTAGCGGAGGAGAGGTGCGAGAGAGGGAAGACAGTGGCTGTGGCGTGGCGGACTGCGGCGGTCGCGGACAGTGGCGGAGGAGAGGTGCTAGAGCGAGAGAGAGTAGAGAGGGAAGAGAGAAAGAGACGCAGACAGAGGAAGAAAGAAGTGAGACGAGGGTGTTTGGTCACCAAACTTTGGTGTGTGTGTATATATATATATATATAGAGAGAGAGAGAGAGAGAGAGTAAAATAGTAAGTTCACTTCGGGGCAAACGGGGACGGGGACAGTCCGGGTACGGGGCTGGAACACTTATCTTTGTCCCCGACCCGAAATTGATCGGGGATTAATTTTTGGATACCATTCCTGCCCCGTTAAGGATATTTTTCAGAAAAAAACCGCTCAAATCGGGGTCAGGGGGTCGGGTCCCCATCGGGCCGAGTTTAAATTGCCATCCCTAGTGGGGGGTGACCCCCAACACCCCCACTTTCACGTGGAGGGCTGCCAATGGAAGATAAAAAAAAAACAGTTATAGACCAATCAAAAATCAATGGGGTTGGGGTCACCCCCACTTGGAGATCTTATACATTTTCCTTCAATCCACCTCTCCAAACCCCCCAATCAGACAGGCCATTAAAGTTTTGTCCTGCCATTAACCCAGTAGGAAATAGATCCTTCACTTTGTAGAATATAAATTGACGTATTCTCCTTTAGTGATTAACACGGATCCTTTAATTTAAAATCCCCAACTTCTGTGCATTCAGATGTTATTTCTTGATTAGTTTATCCGAGTACATGGGTACAAACCATCACCAACTCCTACCCAAAAAAGTAGAAATTGAGGATTTGTAGGGTAGGGCCATACAGAGATAACCAAGCCATGCAAGATCATGAAACCAATAAAAAAAAGACAACAAAACCACATAATTTTAATTACTAGTGACAAGATGTAAAAAAAATCCGGCCGTTAACATTATCATCTCCCAAATTGGAGCAAAGTTACCAATACATAATACTGATCAATGCATAAAGTAGAGAAAGCTCCCTAGAAAGCAATAAAATGCAAACAAGTGTATAGTAATTCAGTTCCAAAGATCACATTACACAACTAGAAAACCACATAACATAGGCTAACAATTGCTTGAAGAGACAGCCCGCATTTGCAAAGTAAAAAAAAATTCTAAACAGTAGCATGTAAAAATGCTCTTCCAGGTTGACGTTGTGCCAAGGGTCCATGGCAACCAAGAAGCTGCAAGAATAAAATTAAAAATCATGAGTTTGCTTGTGTTGTTAATAACAGGTTTGCTCAGCAGTAAAAAAAAAAAAAATCCCTAGAGTAAGTTTAAACAAAAACTAACCTTGGCATTGACGCCATCTGACACAATGCGGTTTTCTGCTTTCCACTTGAGATAATCAGTACGGCCGTACTTGGTAAATCCCCTGCCATATCACAAAGGTTGGATTCAATAAGTTTACAACAAGCCCACAAAACTCAAATCTAAATCATATGGAAAGGGTAAACAAATTAAAAAAGATGGGTACACAAATTACAAAATATCATTTGGGTACAATTTGCTATCGATGTAATAAAGTCCATTTTTTTCTGTCTAGGTTTTTTATTTTTTGTGGACAAAATAGGTCGAAATGACATGAGCAGAATAACCGTAGCAAATTATGGAAGCAAGGGACTTGATAAGAGCAAATGATTATAACAATCTAACAACAAAACAAATGAACTAGATTAGATAGTCCAACTACTTGTGCTTTTCGAGGTTTTTCACTCAGGTTAAAGTCAATCTGTGTAATTTATGCTCAAATGGGATTTTCCTACTACATGCATCAAAGATTTATGTGTGAATTATATAACTCACACAGATCAAGAAATTATTTACATACCACTTCCTGCTGACAATGATCTTTTGACGACCAGGGAACTTGAACTTTGCACGGCGCAAGGCTTCCTGGGCATGGTGACTGTTTCCATCTTTGCAGCGAACAGACAGAAGGACCTGACCAATTGCCACACGTGCGCATGTTCCAAGTGGCTTACCAAAAGCACCACGCATACCAGTCTGGAGCCTATCAGCTCCAGCACATGAAAGCATCTTATTAATGCGCAGGACATGGAATGGATGCACCCTGACTCTCAAGTGAAATGCGTCCTTTCCAGCAAATTTGGTCATGTATTTGTTGCAAGCAATACGTGCAGCTTCCAATGCCTCACTAGAGACATTTTCCTTCTCCCAACTGACCAAATGCACACAGAAGGGAAACTCATCGACTCCCTTTCTCTTCATTCCGACATCATAAATCCTAATTTTTGGATCTGGCACACCACGGCAGTACCTTGATTTCGGGTAAGGCTTATTTTTGATCTGGCGATAACACCTTGCAGGTCCTACAACAGTGAAATGAATATAATACAAAGAACGTCACTATAACATATTTCAAAGTGAAAGTGAAGGACTCAATAATAAAATCAACTACACAGGATTCAAAATTTCATGTGCACACTACATTCACATTTTTACCATGCTGCCAACCAACATAGCAATTTTAGGAGTAAGAAAATTCAAATAACTCTCGCAATATTCATTTAATTGGGAAGCAATTGATCACAAATGTTGACCATTAGACTCTCAAATACATAATTTGATACATATATGTCTAGTAAAAAAAAGGAGTAGAATCAAACAAATCAATAGCTTGAAATATACCCATCTTGTACCAAATTATGAATCAATCTTCCTAATACTAAACGCAAACTTACTCAAAACAACAAAAAGCATAATCACAGAGCAAAGGATAAAAACAAAATTAAGAGAGAGAATGTTGGATTAAGGTTTAAAAAATCACATTTTTCACAGATGTCTCACTGCAGATTCCAAAAAAAAAAACCATATTTTTCACATGTTTCTCACCAACAAAAAACAAAACAACAACAAATTTTACATCAGAAACCTTCAAATTCCCAATCGATGAATACAAAAAAATAAAATAAATAAAATCCACAAATTAAAACAAGAAAATCGTCATTACAAGCATACAGATATATGTATATATGTATATATATATGTAGATAGAGTTGAGAGGGGCTTACTCCTCCCCATGGCGAAAGCTTCGATCAGAATTATGGTCTCAACAAACCTTACAAGAAAAATGAAAAGAAATACAGTTTGCGTTGTATATATAGGAAACCCTAACCCGATCACACGCGTTATGGGTCTAACTCGTGAGGTGTGAGCGTGCGTCATTTGATGGGCCTCCACAAACCGACTTTCTTTGAATTTCAGCCCAAGTCCAGAACCTTCTTGGGTCTGACAATTTGGGCATATTCAAATATTACAAGGCAAGACACCCTTCATGTTTCTTCTTCCACCCCTTTTTGGAATAGATTACTTCAGTTTAAAAATTAAAAAGTCACTTTAAATTAATATATTATTTTTTTTACTCTCAAACCATTCTCAAGCCTGGCCCTGAGGTAAGAGAGGTTTGCACCTTGACTCTCAAATTTAGGCTAAAAATAGAAGTCTCAAATATAATTTTATGTTTTAGATATAAAAAAAGCCCAAATACTATAGGCCCAATTGAACATGGAACCCAAAAAAAAAGAAAAAAAGAAACACAGTCTACAGATCTTAAGAGCTACAGTCTACTGTGCCAAACTAAACTAAATAAAATAAAATAAAATAAATTTAGTTAAATAAACATAGACAAACCAAAAAGAAAGAAAACATACCGTCATGTTCATCCTTCAATCAACCATGTCATAAGAAAGATTGAATTGGTTAACTTTGTTATCCATTGAAAATGATGTAATGGATAAATTCGATTATGCATGCTTCATTAATGATTTTGCAGCTAAAAATATGAGAAAAGTAATGTTTATGTGATAGTTGGTTCAATTTTAAATTGGATATTGCTAAACTATAAAGCAACAAGACCGGATTTTTATTTTTATTTGGAGAATTTGTAATGATTACTTCCTATCTTAATATATGAAAGTAAATTTTTGTTTATAATTTTATAAATGATTATATGTGCAAGTAAATTTTTTGTGACTACAAACAAATAAAAAAGTTGTTATAACTTATTGTTTTATCCATAAATTTTATTTTATTTTTTTCAATGTAAAAGGGGCTCCATTTTCAAAGTTCGCCTTGAACCCTTTAAATCTCAGGGCCGGTCTTAACCATTCTATAATCAATGTTTAAGAAAATTCGTATCAACATATTTTACCTTAAATTTTAAATTATATGATATATTGATCTTGAATTTCCATGATGCGTTACAAGTCTATGAACTGGAATGGAAATTTCCTTTTCATCTATCTATAAAATAAAGATGATCAAAATCCAACTAATTTTGTGTGACAAAAGGTCCTGAATTCGAAATTTATACCAATTTTTTTATAGCTTTTGACTGAAATTGGAGAGTGAGGGGTGGGTTCCTCGACATCCTCCCCAAGTTGGCATGTAAGGTCAGGTCATAAATGGGCCCGGCCTTGGGGGTTCCTGGTTAAAAAAACAAAAAATTGAAAAAATAATAGGCACCTTAATATTTATTGCAAAGTTAAAAAGGAAGTGTTACTTTTTTAGGAAAAAATTACAACAAAAAGAAAAAAGAAAAAGATTATACCTCATTAATAAATAAAAAAATTAGGGGTAATTACAAAAACAAAAGTTCAAAGTTTGATTATTGTAACAAAATAAATTATGAGTTTTTAATTTTGTGAATTTAAATCTTAATATTTTGATTTATTTTTAATCTAAATCATCAACTTATTGTCGTTAAATAAAACTGACAGAAAAATAATATTTTAATTATTAAACTCAATATAAGTGTACATAAAATGTCAAAATATTTTTTTTGTTGAGTTTAAAAACTAAAATACTCTTTTTTCCATTAGTTTTTCTTAATGAAAATAGACATACAGTTTATAATACAAATAAAAAATTTAAAGTTTTAATTGATGAAAATAAAAATTCATGATTTATGATGCTACAAAGATCAAATCCTGGAATTCTTTTTGTAATTTTTTTAAAATTTATCATTAAAATCATGATCTTCCATGTTGATGTCAATCACAACCTTCCACCCAAATCAATTAACTAATCCTAATGGATGAAGGATAATTTTATAAATTTCACCTCATTCTGAATAATTTTATTTATTTACCTTCCTTTGGGTAGTTTAATTCACCACCTCCTCCTTCGTCTCTGTTTTGTTTTTCTTTGTGTATATATATATATATGTATTATTAAAAGCAGTATTTTTCCATTACTTAAGTGGCACATTATGAGTTTACTTTTTTTTTTTATTAAAAAAAAACATGTCTTTTTCATTTACATATAGAGTTTTACACAAACTCAATTTCAATTATAATAATCAATTTTATATGGACTATATTTGACAAATATCTATTTTTCATATATATAATTATAATTTAATTACTATGGTATTTGAATTTTTTTTTATCTCAATACACAAATAAATAAATAAGACAGAATATGCTTAATTATGTGCATTGCACAAATCAAATTAATTTTTTTATATTTTATATTTTTTATCTATCTTATTGATGTCATAATATTAATTTTTTTATTTAGCATGAAATTATTTATTATAAAATATTTATATTTAATTTAAATTTTATATACCTATAAACAATATGTATGAATAATGCAAATAGAATATTAAAGAAAAAATTAATAGTCTATATAATTAATTTATATATTTTATTCTTAATTCAATCACAACATATTTATATTTATAGTAAATTACAAATACATCTCATGAGGTTTGCTTAAAATATGAATTGCCCCTGTGATTTGAAAAATTAAATTTCATCCCTTGAAATTTTTAATTTCATAACAAATGATTATTTTTATCAATAAATCATTAAGTCAATAGTATTACTAATATCAAAATAAGTGTTTATTTTTTATCTTATAATTTAATATATATATATTATACAATATCATTATATGATAATTACACTTTTATAGCACATAGAACCAAAATTATAAAAATCAACAAATCATTTAACTAAATTTATTATATATAAATATTCAACTAACACTTTTATAGAACGACAAGGCTAAGATTATTAAAATATATAATTTAAATTTAATTTTTTTAAATTAAAATAATATTATTTTTTTGTAACATATATCATAACATAAAATAGCATTACATTAATTAAAGTTACCTTCATTATGATTTTATGCCAGATATCATATTTCTAGAAGTGATGTATATACATGTATAGCGTTCAATTTAATATTGATTGATTAAAATAATGGAACTCAATAATTTTTTTGTTAAGTTTTTAGAAGATAAATTGACAAATGTTAAATGATAAATAGTGTGGAGTATTATTTTAAAGAATAATGATTCATCGAAAATAATTGTGTATGCTTGAGGCACCTAGTGATGTTTCTTGAATAATTTTTAAATAAGAATTTTAAATTTATAATATTACTGATAACGCACATTTGTGAGTTCTTCTAGAAAATATATGCAAAAATAATTTGGCTGAAATAAAAAATTTGTAGTTATTATGATGTATCACATAATTAATCAAAACCCTTTAAGAACTAAAATTTTTAAGGTTTAGAGATTTTGTGCCTGATTTCTTTTGAGAACACTATTTACAATTTGAATTTGTAATTTTTTATACATCAATGTGAATAACTCTTACGATTTTACTGATATAAGTATAAATCCTACCTTTGAGTCAATCCACTTTAAACATTTTTTTCATGTAATAAAATACTTAAATATTGTGATATAAAAGTATTATAATAGATCATAGTTAAACATCACTTGAAATATAATTAAAGACTCAATGCATCACTTTAGACATAATAAAAAACATAAGAAATTAGTAAAGAACTTTTCGATTAATAATCAAAATAATACACCAGGAGTTATAACCAAGCCGTAATTTGTATATTATAGAACTTTTCGTTATTTTTATTTTTTTTCAGAAAAAAATATTTTGATACAACCGGAATTCATGATTTTTAGTAAATTTGATTAACATAAATGAAAATTTGATTGCAGGCTGAAAATACACTTCTTTTTTTAATTTTGAAAGAAATTATTTTTATGAGCCTTTTATATGGAATCACACACATAATGACAAATTTTCATTAGTTATTAACAAATTTGTTTGTATTTGACTTTTAATTGTTAAAATTTTTTACATACAAAATATTAAGACTTAAAATTAATTTTTTATTTTAAAAATAAATTCTATGCATAGTACGGGCCACCTACTAATTATAAATAATAATAATTAAAAATGGATAGATGAGTCTGGGCTGTTTTAAGAAGAGGTTTTTTTTTTACCAAAAAAAAGAAAAGAAAAGAAAAGTCCCTCACAAATCCTTGGGTAGCAGTTGAGCCAACAACCAGATATAGTCCAACATATTATCAAAATCTTCAAAAAAAAAACCAAAAAAAAAAAAAAAAAAGGAAGAAGAAGAAGAAGAAGAGGAGGAGGAGGAGGAGGAGGAGGAGGACAGACAGTCAGCCACGAATCAGGATCCCCTTCTTACATTTCTTACTTGCAGGGTTATTGGACCCACTTTTAGGCCCAATTTTGATAATTCGAACCGTTCATATTTTAAGATTTATTCAGTATATCATACTTGTAAAAAATCAAGTTGATCGGATATTAGAAAGCATATGTTCGGAAAACTCAAACTAAAAACTATTTTTTTTAAAAATTTAATAAACAGTTTTCCGAACACATACTTTCTGATATCCGATCAACTTGATTTTTTACAGATATGATATATTGAACAAATCTTAAAATATCAACGGTTCGAATTATCAAAATTGAGCCTAAAAGTGGGCCTAATGGCCCTACAAGTAGAAAATATAAGGAGGAAATGCAAGGAGGGGATCTTGATTCGTGAGCCACGACATCTTCTTGTTGAGAAAGCATCCTCTTCTTGCCTTCCCTACTTCACTTCCTCCTTGCAATGGTTAAGATTTATTTTAAGAGAATTTAATGGTGTAGATCATTCCAAAAAAATTATTTTTTAATTTTTAATTTTTTTTAATAAAGTGATCTGAGCCATTAAATTCTCTTAAGGTGAATCTTGACCATTGCAAGGAGAGAGTGAAGTAGGGAAGGCAATAAGGCATGGACATGAAATTCTTTAATGCTTTGTTTGGTTGGGGGAATTTGAGAAGGGATTTGGAAAGGAAAAATGGAAAAGGTGGCTGAAATATGAATAAA